AATATAAAAAGATATTTTTACAACATTAGTTTTTTTTTTATTAAAGTCCAAACAACAAAAAAAAAAAAAATTGGATTATATTATTTTATTTTAATCTATTATAATAATAGCATTGATTATTTCTAAAAAAAATAAATACAAAATTTATATTTTTTATTAATTTTTTTTTTCTTAATTTTTTTTTTTTCAATTATTTTTAAAATTTTTTTTTTTTAAAATTTTATTTTTTTTTATTTTTTTAATTTACTATTTAATTTTTACATTTTTTTATTTCATTTCATTTCATTCATTTTTTTTCATTCATTACTATTAAAATTATAATTTTCTAAATTCAAAATGACATTAATTAAAAGTTTTGTTCTCTTTTCAATAGGTGCTATTTCAGGTAAATATAAAAATATATATAACATTAATATTAAATAAAATATTTATTTACCAATTTTTTCAAATAGGTGTTTACTATGCTCAAAACTATGATGTTCCAAATCTTTCAAAAGAAGCCAACAAAGTTGTAAAACAAATCAAAGATATCGGCAAATAGACCATTTAAACAAAGAACATAACAATATTACAATCCACACTATTAGTAGGAACAAAAAAAAAAAGGGACATGTTCAAAAATAAAAAAATAAACTCCCTTTTTCGTGTATAAAATTTAAAATAATAAAATATAAATAAATTAATTATAAAACATATTTTTGTTGTATCATTATTTATAAAATATCTATAGGTTTTTTTTAAAAAAAAAATAAGTGAACAATTATATTTTGTAAGAAAAAATAAAATAAAAAATAGTCATTGTGGAGGACAATATTGTTTTTTTTTTAAAAATTGTATAATAGTAACTTTATCTTTGTTTTATTAAAAATGTATTATATCGAATCTTAATGATTTTTTTTTTGTTCTTTTTTTTTTTTTGATAAATAATATATCTATATGATATACTAAATGGTATCTATACTTTTTTTTTTTTTTTTCTTTTAAATAATAGTAATATTATTCATATTACTATTTTGACGATTACTATAATTATTTTTGGGAATTGATTAATTTGATTAGAAATTAATGGTTTGGTTATATGTAATTTTATCTGGATAAGTGGCATCTTGTTCTTTTTCTTCGAGATCATTTAATTTACTGTAACGAATACCAAATGCTAAATAAATAATTGTACCTAAGGCTGTCCATACTGCAACTCTAATGAATGAGGCATAATCTAAATGCATAATGAAATAAGTGTTGACGATAATACCTAAACATGGAACAACTGGATTACCTGGGCATTTGAATGAGGTTGGGATATTAACTTGTTTTCTAAGACAAAGAAGAACCATAATAACAACCAATGGAGTTGCAAAACCAATTTGGAGCCATTTGTTCCATGAGTTGGCTGATGAAATACCAAATACACAAGCAAAGGCAAATAATGCAATTAAATAAACAACAGTTGGAATTTTGCCAGTTTCGGTATTTGTAACTGGATCCTATAGTTTTATTAAAAAAAAAAAAAAAGGTATTGTAAATATATAGTTTTTTTTTAAAATAATTTAAAATATAAATTATACTTACTCTAAATCTCATAACGACGACACCAGCACATACTGAGGTAAAGGCTAATAAAGTACCAATACTAATCATATTTGTTAAAGATGATAAATTTAAGAAAACTGCTAAAAGTGAGGCAAAGACACCAGTGAAAACAGTACCGAAAACTGGAACTTGTTTTTTGTTTAATGAAGTGAATTTTTGGAAGAAAAGACCATCTTTAGCCATTTGAAGATAAATACGTGGTTGACCAAGTAATGAGCAAAGAGTTGAAGCAGTTAAAGAAGTAAGGGTACCGAGAGCAATAATCATAGCAGCCCATTTCATATGTCTACCACCGCTTAAGAAAGCTTGTGATAATGGTGAGGTTTGGGAAATGAGATCTGATTGAACCATACCAGAAAGAACTAATGTTACTGCAATATAGAGAGTAGTGGCGACAATTAAAGTACCAATAATACCAAGTGGAAGATCACGTTTTGGGTTTTTAACTTCACCAGCAAGAGTTGTAACTGAATCAAAACCAACATAACTAAAGAATACTACTGAGCATGCATTAAAGACACCATTAATACCATTAGTAAAGAATGGATTCCAATTTGCTCTATCTACATAAATTGAACCTAAAATGATAAAGAAGAGAATTGTGGCAATATTGAGACCAGTAATAAACATATTGAAACGTGCACTATCTTTGATACCAAATACTAAAATAATTGTACATGCTACAATAATTGCTGGTGCTAATGGTGCAAAACTAATCCATTCATTAATTTCAAATCCACTAATCCAAGTTGGAACATCTTTACCAAAAATTTGGAAAATAACACCAAAATAACCTACCCAACCTCTTGCAACTGCTGAAGCTGAAATTGCATATTCTAAAGTTAAATTCCAACCTACAAACCAACCCATATATTCACTATTTATTTATTTTTTAGTATTAGTATTTAAAAAAAAAAAAAAAAAAAAAAATTTATTTTAAAAAAATATTTACCCTAACGATACGTATGCAAAAGTGTAAGCACTACCTGATACCGGAATACGAGCAGAAAACTCTGAATAACAAAATGCTGAAATTAAACATGCAATAGCAGAGAATAAAAAGGATAAAAGTGTAGCTGGACCAGCATATACATTAATAGCAATACCTATAAAAATAATATAAAACATTAGTATAAGAAATATTATTATTTTTCCATTTAATAATATATATAATCATACCAATTGATACAAAAACACCAGCACCTACTGTTGAACCAATACCATATGAAATAATATCTAAAATTGATAAACATTTATTTAATGATTGACCATCATCATTACTATGATCCTCTTGATTAAGTGGATATTTTCTATAAAATGAACTTAATTTATATGGATTTCTTTTTTTAATTAACGGTTGTGTTATATTTGTCATGTTTTAATTTATATATAAATAAATTTATATTTTACAAATATTTCAAATAATATATATAGCTATATATTTTATAATATTATATTTCTTTTATTAAATTTACTACTGGCTATTATTAAAAATAATATTTATTATTTATTATTTGTTGTTTTTTTTTATTATTATTATTATTATAACAATCAAAAATTTAACCACACAAATAAAAAATAAATAATAATAAAAAAAAATATTTTAAATGGGGAAAACACAAAAAAAATTTATTTATTTGTTTTATTTTTTTTTTTTTTTTTTTTTTTTTTTTTTTTTTTTTAGTCAGGATTGTATTAAAAATGAAAAATTCAAAAAAAATAATTTTTTTTTATTTTTTTTTTATTTTTTTTTCCAATTTTTTTTTTTACTGGGCGAATTTTCGTTTTATAATTTTTTTTATATAAATCAACCTTTAATTTCAGATATTAACAATAGGAAATATAAAAAATGTATGTATTTTTAAATTGGCTCCAATGATTCCATATTATTCGACAACTAAATTTTAATAAGGACACTAATAATTTTTTTCTCAAAAAAATAGAAATACGTCATAATAAAAATATCTAAAATATTGATTTCTCAAAAAATAGTTTTATTAAAAAAAAATATTTTTCTATTTATTTAATTTTTTCGAGAAGTATAATTTAAAATGTAGTTTAAACCAAAAAAATAACAAATATAATAATTTTAGTTTTTTAAAAAATATAAAAATATAAAAATAAAAAAAAAAAAAAAAAAAAAACTAAAAAAAATAAAAAATAAAAAAAAAACAAAAAATGAAAATTTTTTTTTTTTTTTACGAAAATATCATTGCAATTTAATTATAAATAATAATAGTAATAATAAAGAAATTGTTAATAAATAATGTCATCACCACCAAATAAATCAATTGAAATTATTGAAGATTCAATGAACATTTTCTTTGAAGAAAGTAGTGACGAAGAAATTGTTTACTCAAATCATACATATAAACGTTTAGATAGCGTAACTGAAAATAAAGATATTAAAGAAATTCCAGTTCGTTTATCACAAAGACACAGCTTATGGGCACATTTACCATGGAATGCTGGTATTGCTTTATCAGATTATTTTGATAGTGGAGCAGTAGATTTTAAAAATAAAAAGTAATTGGTCATCAATTTATTTAGAAATAGTATGCATATTTACTAATTTTCGTTTTTATATAGTGTTTTAGAGTTAGGCGCAGGTGCAGGTTTACCATCATTCATTGCAGCATTAAATGGTGCTAAAAAAGTTTTACTTACAGATTACCCAGATAAAGATTTAATCGATAATATGCTTTACAATATCGAAAATGCAGTTCCAAATTCAATTTCAGAGAATCGTATTTTAGGAAAACCACATCTTTGGGGTAAAGAACCAGAAAAATTATTTGAATATTTAGAAAACCCAACCACTGAAAAATTTGATATTATTATTCTTTCAGATCTTATTTTTAATCATGCTACACAAGATAAAATGTTATTAACATGCGCAAACTGTTTATCAGATGACGGTATTGTAAGTTTTAAATTAAAAAAAGATATTTTTTATTTTTATTTTTATTTTTTTTTTATTGTTATAATATAATTTACTTATTATTTATATTGTTATTGTTCTGTTTAGATTTTTGTTACATTTTCACATCATAGACCAAATAGAATGGCAAAGGATTTATATTTCTTTGAGTTAGCATCACAAGAACCATTCAACTTTACATCAGAGAAATTCAACGAGCGTAAGATGCACGCAATGTTTGAAGATGATTTGGGCCCAGAGGAAGTTCGTGCTACAGTTCATTTTTACCTTTTAAAAAGAAAGCAAAACTAAATTAAATTAATTAAATTATAAAAATTTAATTAAAAAAAAATAAAAAATAAAAATAAATTTTTAAAAAAACTAACACCCACCCCATTCCAATTTTTTTTATAAAACACAATACACATATAAATACATAATCCTCTTATTTTCATTTTAATTAAGCAATAGCTTTACACAAATTTATTTAATAATTGTTTTAAATTATTATTTTCATTTATTTTTTAAAATTAAATTTATTTATAAATAGCTTATTTTCATTTTTAATCACATTACAATTAATTTTCTTTTTTTTTTTATTTTTTTATAATTTAAATTTTTATAATATTTTATAAAACCAAAGTTTTTAAAATGGATATAGACTATAATAACAATAATAATAATAATAATAATATAGATAATATAGATAATATAGATAATATAGATAATAACATAAGTAATTATGAAAATAATGAAATAGTAATAGAAAATAATTGTTATGGTGAATCATCATTAGAGCCAGCTTTATTATTTTATAAAGAAAACAATATCTATACTGGTGATGAGGGTGGTAGACAATCTCCACAAAATTGGTTTTTTAATAACCCAGTTTTCATTTCTCAATACAATAATAATAACTATCAAAATAATGTATCACCACAAGATAATAATAGTATTATTCAATATGATCAAGAGATCATTGATAATGATAGTTATACACCAATCGAATTATACCAAGATGTAAATAATTTAAATAATAATGTTCACATTATTCCCAACAATAATGTAAATAATGTAAATAGTGTAAATAGTGTAAATAGTGTAAATTATAATAATAATAATAATAATAATAATAATAATAATAATAATAATAATAATAATAATAATAATAATAATTATGATTTTAATAGTTTTTATATAAATAATAGTTTCAATGATAATATAAATAATTGCCTATACAATTGTATTGATTATAATCAAATGATTGTTCAATATAATAATAATGATAATAGTAATTGCAATGTAAATAATAGTAACAATAATAACAATAATAACAGTATTAATTTAAACTATAATGGTTATGTAGATACTAATGGCAATTCCATAGAGCATAATGCATTATCATATGAAGAAATTTTAGACTCAGTTTTGTATAGTAATAAAAAACTAAAAACAAATGAAGCAGATTTTAAAAGCAATAACAACAATATTAATAGTAATAATTTAGACCATTATACAATATCAAACAGTACTTTTTATAACAATAGTTTCCAATTTAGTACCTCAGAATTAAAAAATAATAATAGCTTTGATAATAGTAATATGGGCAATAATAGGTTATTATTTGAAACTGATAGCGAGGATGAGGTATCAGAGAGTATTATAAGTGACAGTGGAAATGACCCGGATTCAATTGATGAGGATGGTTATAATGGTTTTAATAATAATGATGACATGGTAGATAGATTAAATAAAATTAAAAAAATAAAAGATTTTTATCCAAAAATTCATGAAAAAGTTTTTTCATTTTTAACAGAGTGTTTACAACTATCAATTAGGAATGACGATAATGGCCACAACAACGAATAATAATAATAATTACAACAATATATTGATTTTGCCAATAATAGATAATAAATAA